GTAGTTTGGTTTTTAGGTGTTGTTCGTCAGCTAAGCGTCTTGTTCTGGAGATGAGTGTCTTGCCTACGGAGTTGATCTGTGCTGGGTGGTGGTGTGAGAGAGCGTGCAGATAGCGGTTTCTGTGTGCTTTTCTTCTGGTAGATGGTGTGTCCTAGGGAGCCATTGGATTTCTTGTAGACTAAGACATCCAGTTGAGGTGTGTGAGGAAGTTGTCCAGTTTTTCTTTCCCATGTGGCCAGATTATGAAGGTGTCGTCTATGTATCTGAGCCAGAGTTTGGTTTGTGATCCGATTTTTCTAGAGCTTGGGTTTCAAGAGCTTGGGTTTCAAAGTGTTCCATGTAGAGGTTTGCAATGACAGGTGAGAGGGGTGATCCCATGGGTGCTCCTTCTGTTTGTTTGTATTTTTTGTCCATTATAGATGAAGATAGGCAGTGGTTGGTCAGATCTAAGATGTGTTTGGGGGGATTATATTTGTTTTGGATAGCTGTCAAGGCTTCTTTGATAGGCACTTGGGTGAAGAGGGATATGACATCGAAGCTCACGAGTAGGTCGCTGGGCTGTAAGTTTTGTTTCTTTATGATCTCTATAAACTGGAATGAGTTTTTTATGTGTGAGGTAATGGATTCTGCATAGGGCTGTAGTTATTTGGCGGGAAATTTGGCTAGGTTTTGTAGAGGTGAGCCTATGGAGCTGACTATAGGTCTGAGTGGGGTTCCTTCTTTGTGTATCTTGGGGAGACCATAGAGTTTGGGGCATCTGGATGATTTCTCTCTGGGAATGATTCTTTGCTGGATCTCTTCGCTAATGGGGGAGGCTTTTATTTTGGATCTGGTGTTTTTTTCCAGGGAGGTGGTGGGATCTGTATTTAGGGGTTTGTATGTGGAGTCTTGGAGTAGGTTGGTTAATTTGGTTTGGTAGTCAGATGTGTTCATAACCACCGTGGTGTTGCCCTTGTCTGCTGGTAGGATTATTATGCTGGTGTCTTCTTTCAGGTTACGTAGTGCTGTCTGTTCCTCTTTGGGTAAGTTGTTTTTGGGTGGCTTGCTGGTGCAGAGGATGTTGGTGATTTCGAGTCTGATTCTGTTAGCGTCATCGGGGTTGATTTTGGTCAGGCTGGTTTCAACTCCACATATAATGGTTTCAATGGGGATGTGTTTGGGAGCGACTGCAAAGTTGAATCCTTTGGAAAGGACATTGGTTTCAGCTTTGGTGAGGATCCTATCTGAGATGTTATGCACTGTTTGTTTCGTGTGTGGCTGTGAGGGAGGAGGGGTTTGTTTCTGGCGTTCTTGTAGTCTTCGGAGTTTGTTGGTGTGTGTATCTGGCTTGAGGGTGGTCTGTGTTTCGGCTCTCCAGATGGCGAGTTGTTTGGATTTGTCCCAAAGTGCAGGGTGGATCTTGTTGCTGAGTTTGAGGTGGAGTGTGAGGAGATCTTTGTTAATTCAATCTAGGAGGAATCTTTTTGTGTGAAGTTCATTTCTGATTAGGGCCAATTCTGTTCTTTTCAGGATCCGTTTGGTGGCTGCAGAGTTGGAGTGGAATTTTAGTTGGAAACGTGGGGATTAGATTTTGATCTCGGCAGTTGCGTAGGAATGCAAGGTCGCATAAAATGGAAGCTCTTTGGACTTCAAGTTTTTCATAGGTCCTGGTCAGATGGTGGATTTCCTCCCGTAGAGGTTCAATATTTGTTTTCCAAGGTTTTCGCGGGTGTTTGTATGTAGGTCTTTGGTTGTTCGGGTTTTCTCCCGCGTAAAATTGGAAGTGTCTTGGCGACGTTTCGACGAAGTCCCATTCGTCATCTTCAGGCTGGTGCTTTCAGCTTCGTGCTTCAAGGAGCAATGTGTGGTCTTAGCTGTTTCTTCCTTTCAACTGCCAGTGGGGATATGAACTGATTGGGTGGGAGCTTGGCTGTGTTCTGATTGGGTGGAGGTGTGTTCTGATTGGTTACGGGTGTGGCTGTGCTCTGATTGGCTGGGGGATTGGCTGTGCTCTGATTGGCTGGGGGAGTGTTCTGTTTGGTTATGCTCAGGTTAGTCTGAGTTGCAGGGGGGTTTAAGATTTTGGGCTGCCTTGCTATTTTTTGGCTTCGCGTTTGTGGTCGTGCCTCATCTTCATAGAGGGTGTCAGTTTGCTTCATGTATGGATTGGAGGGGTTTAAAGTGGCTAATTATGCAGCTGTGGTCTGGCTTCTGGTTTGTGGTCGTGCCTCATCATCGGTGTGGCTTTGGGTTTGCTTTTTGCGTGGATGTGTGGTGGTGACATCCTGTGCGGTTTTTGTGAGTGTGGGTCTGGTGTCATTTTTTTGTGTTAGGGAGTCGTTTGTCAATAAGGGCGGGTTTCCAAATGACTGGTAGGCGGGAGGTATCATCTCATTTGTTCATACTGTGTGGGTGTTTTTCTATCTCGATGGCTTCTCTGATTATTCTGTTATTAAAACGTTCACTTTTGGCAATGGTTCTGGTATTTTTAAAGTCAATTTCATGTCCTGTGGCTTTAAGGTGTTGGACCAGGGAAGATGTTGGTTCCTCTTTTTTGACTGAGTTCTTATGTTCTTCAATGCGTGCACTTATTCTTCTGTTAAAAACCGAACTACACACTCTCACCAATGTATTAATATCCAATGGATTCCAAAGAAATAAGATTACAAACCTAATCCAAAAAGAAACCCCCACTAAAATCCAAGACAGAGAGCAAGAAAACGGCAAAGCCCTCCTCCCATACATAAAAGGCACCACAGACAGAATCAGCAAGATCCTCCATAAACAAATCAAAACAGCATTCTGCACAAACAGAAAAATATCCACCATCCTTAGAAACCACAAAGATAAAATTGACTTAGAAAATCAAGGAGTATATGAAATCCCATGCACTGCTTGTCCCAACACATACATCGGACAAACCAACAGAAGACATCCATACATCCACGCAAAAAGCAAACCCAAACCCACACCGATGATGAGGCACGACCACAAACCAGAAGCCAGACCACAGCTGCATCATTAGCCACTTTAAACCCCTCCAATCCATACATGAAGCAAACTGACACCCACCATGAAGATGAGGTACGACCACGAACGTGAAGCCAAAAAATAGCAAGGCAGCCCACCATCTTAAACCCCCCTGCAACTCAGACTAACCTGAGCACAACAAAGCCCCCACCGAAACAGAACACTCCCCCAGCCAATCAGAGCACAGCCAACCCCCCAGCCAATCAGAGCACAGCCAACCCCCCAGCCAATCAGAGCACAGCCAAGCCCCTAAACAATCAGAACACACCTCCACCCAATCAGAACACAGCCAAGCTCCCACCCAATCAGTTCATACCCCCATTGGCAGTTAAAAGGAAGAAACAGCTAAGACCACACATTGCTCCTCGAAGCACGAAGCTGAAAACACCAGCCTGACGATGATGAATGGGACTTCGTCGAAACGTCACCAAGACACTTCCAATTTTACGTGGGAGAAAACCCGAATAACCAAAGACCTACATGCAAACACCCGCGAAAACCTCAGAAAACAAATATATATATTATAGGTACAGTTTTTCTAAACTATGCCTCCTGCTCATTTTGAATGTGTGCTTATTTTTTGGGCTTATTTTTGCACTGGGTGAGCTGTAATCTCTAACAGACACTATTCATCCTCTTCATGACCTGTTTTCTTTGTTACCTTCTGGGAGGAGGCTTCATGGTATCCGATGCAGAACATCTAGATTCAGTTACATAGTATCATCCTTGTGAACTCTCAAGTTTCCTCTTTCCACTATGTATTGAATAGAATAGAGCTGGAAGGGAACTTGGAGGTCTTCTAGTCCAGCCCCCTGCTCAAGCAGGAGGACCTATACAATCTCAGACAGGTGATGGTCCAGTCTCTTTTTAAAAACTTCCAGTGATGGAGCACCCACAATTTCTGGGGGTAAGCTGTTCCACTGGTTGATTGTCCTCACTGTCAGGAAGTTTCTCCTTAATTCCAGGTTGCTTTTCTCTTTGATCAGCTTCCAACCATTGTTTCTTGCCTTCCTTCTGGTGCTCTGGTGAACAACCTGACCTGGTCTTCTTTGTGGCAGCCCCTTAGATATTGGAACACTGCTATCACATCTCTCCTACTTCTTCTTTTCTTTAGACTAGCCATACTCAAGTCCTGCAGCCATTCTCTGTACATTTTGGTCTCCAGGCCTTTGATCATCTTAGCTGTTCTTCTCTGAATTTTTTCCAGACTCTCATCTTTTTTGTGACCAAAATTGGCTGCAGTATTGGAGGTGTGGTCTTTATAAAGTGGTACTAGTACTTCGCATGATCTTGATTCTATGCCTCTGTTTATACAACCCAGGATTGTATTAGCTTTTTTGGTTGCTGCTGCACACTGCTGGCTCATAGTTAAGTAATCGTTCACCAGGATTCCTTGGTCCCTCTCACAGTTACTGCCTCCAAGCCAGGTCTCGCCCAATCTATATTTGTTCCTTTGGTTTTTCTTGTCTAAGTGTAAGACTTTGCTTTTCTCCACATTGAAACTCATTTTGTTGGATAGAGCCCATTGTTCAAGTTTGTCAAGATCTTTTTGGATCCTGAGTTTGTTTTCTGGGGTATTGGCTATTCCTGCCAGTTTGATGCCATCTGTGAATTTGATGAGTTCCCCTTCAATTCCCTCATCTAAGTCGTTTATGAAGATATTGAAGAGTACTGGGCCTAGGACGGAACCTTGTGGTACTCCACAAATGGACAGTGATTAATATATATATGTATGGATGTAGGTATATATATGTATGTATATAGCATGTGCATATGCATGTTATGTATATGTATGGGTATACTTTCTTTTGAGAGCAAGCAACAGAATTTCATTTTTAATGTGTTCCAGTGTACTCACAGTAAAAAAATGACAATAAAGGTTATCTTAATCTTAAATTATGGAGAAATAAATTATCAAACAATATGTATTATCTTATAAATATGGATATGAGCCTTGTTGGATTAAGTGACATATAAATTGTAGAGAACAAAAAAGTAGAATCCCATATTATAGTCTTATTCCATGTAGGAGCTACTGCTGTAGACACTGAAAACCGCAATATGAAGAACATTCTTATATCATTCTTATGAGAAATATAAAGGAAGGAAGGAAGGAAGCTTAGCTGCTTTAATAAGAGGACCATATTTGGTAGCTAATAAAAGGTAATTATTTTAAGATCAATTCCATTCTGAACTGCTGGACAATTAGCGACTGCAAGATTATCTGACATAGTCTATATGATATGAATAATCAAATTATTACTAAATATGACTAACACCTTGAACACATGCTTAGTGAGATAATTAAGCACAGATTGAACTGCATGTTTATTTATTCTAATATCCAATCAGATGTTCCTAAAACAATATTCCAAAATGGAGATTCTACATGTAATGAAAAAATGTAAAAACGTGCATTTTTCTAGTCTCATGCATTTTCTACATTTCAATATTTCCTTTTAGAATGGTGCATTCCAGTTGTTTCTATGGAATGTTATTTTGATAAAATAAATAGTAATACCCTTATAAAATGTTGAAGGTGCAGTATGCATGATAGATGAGATTTCAAAAGGGTTTTCTGAATATCCTTCATCCAACAAAGCAGCAAAAAAGAAAACAAAGAGGAAAAATATTGATACGGTAAATATGTTTTAAACAACACTTTGCCATCTACTTTCTGCCCTTTAAGTAAACAGAACACATAAATACATAAATTTCCATAAAGTATAACAACAGAATAATAAATAACAAAATGAAAACAGGAATTCATTTTATAAACTTTTTAAAAAGACAACCTCTAGTTATCTTCTAGCACTTCAAAGACTACTGCATGAAATCTTCTGCTTCTCCTAGATAAAAAATTCATAAGCGAGTCCCTTAAAGACTTATTAGAAAAAGAATTTGTAGTATCTTAGGTAGAAGTGATTACCAAATAACAATAGAACTGTTGACTTACAACAATTTGTTTAGTGACTGTTCAAAGTTACAACGGCACTGAAAAAAGTGACTTGTTATCATTTTTCACTTACGAAAGTTGCAGCATCTCCATAGTCATGTGATCAAAATTCAGATGCTTGGCAACTGACTCATATTTATGATGGTTGCAGTGTCCTGGGATCATGTGATCACCTTTTATCACCTTCTTACAAGCAAAGTCAATGGGAAAGCCAGATTCATTTAACAACCGTATTACTAATTTAATAACTGCAGGCATTCACTCAAAAACTGTGACAAGAAAAGTGTAAAATGGGAAAAAAATCACTTAACAAGTGTTTCGCTTAGCAATAGAAATTTGGTGCTCAATTGTAGATATAAGTTGAGGACTACCTATACTGCTACACTTGAATTACACTTAATTACTGAGACAGCTGAGGATGGCCCTAGAAAAGCAAATACTTAGAATCTGAAAATGTATTTAGAAAGCATAACAAGTTTCTCCCCAACTGTACCTATGTGACTGGGAAAATGTTGAAAATGTTCTCTTTTGTTTCTGAAAGTATTCCTTTAATATAACTTTGAAATATAACTTGCTTTTTCAGTGATTAAATACAAAATATCTACAATAATAAAATTAAATTCTACTGAAAAATGCTGTAAAAGTAGATGCATATAATTAACTTATTCAATTCAATCATCTTGAATTGTTGATAAAAATAATAAAGGTGGGAATAAAAAAACCTAAAAAAAGATTTTATTAGCCAATAAAACAGCTGCCCTGTTGTCTAATAGCATTCTGAACGAAATTGACTTTTGGTCTTTGGGAATCTGCAACATCTACGGGAATAGAGTGGGAGAAAAATTACCGAACAGCTTAGTACAAGCAACATGAAAAAGAAATAAAATAATTTATTCATGGTTTATTGTTTCTATTTTTCCCATCATCTTTATTTCACTGGCTCCAGTTCTTGTACTATAGGGATATTGCAATTCTTTGGTAAACATTATAACTTAATTCTGATTTTGACAATTATTTTAGAAATTTTAAAACGTATTGCTTTGTTTATTGTATAATAGTATATTAGAAAGAGAAGAAATTTTGAAGAAATTTTGAATGAATTATAGGTGCCATGAAATGTTGGGATTGCTTTCTTATTTTCAATTATTAAACTATATATCCACAACACTTAATTCCAATGAAATAATTAATACTGGATAAACAGGTAAAATGATATTGATATGGTTTAGAAAACATTTTCTAGCTACAAGGTAGCAACATAATGCTTGACCGCTCCACAGAAATTTAGCATCCAGTTTTAAACTCTAAAGTGGAATAAGTCAGGTATATAGGAATATTTGAGCAATGAAGCTAGAAAAGTATATTGGAAACCACTGAAGATGATAGAAATATACAAAGCAATTGGAACATTTTTAGGTTTCCTTTCTAGCAAACATTTTATTTATACACATATTCCTTTCCTCTTTTCCTGTACCTATCTATTTTTTCCCTGAATCTGCTCTGAAATATAATTAAGAACTATTTTTGGGTCTACAGAAAGAGCTAGAAGAAACAAATTTCCATCCATGGAAAAGATTAACTGAATAGGTTCAATGTTTTCTTTTGTTACATTATTATTTAAAAGAGAAGAATAAAATACTATCAACTATTACCTGGAATGAAAAAAATGAAATAATATTCAGCAAGGCATTACCCTACTTTTTATTGGTAATTACATCTTAGTGAAATATTTTAACAAATAAACTTCAATATGTATCACATTCATTAATGAAACAGTAAGAAAAATTATATTAAATTACTGAGCAGCTTAGTTTTCTTTGGAACAACAATGTGTTCTACAAGTAACAATCCTACATCAGTGTTTTATTGGTACAGTATGCTGAGGTCAATAATAGACACAAGGATACGTGGTCCACTGATAAAGAGTGCTACTGAATTAAAACTTCCAGCACCCTTGTTCAACAATATGAATTACAGGTCAACAACCCTGGAAGGCCACGTATTTACTATCCTTTCCTTACATAAATAAGAAAACACTGCTTGTAGCAACTGCCCTCCTTGGTTAATCTGCAAGTTCCATAATCTTAGAAACAAATAGCCCATCCCAGCCTATCCAAGCAGTGTAACTAGAGCAAAGGGAAACAAAACAGTTATTGTCACTTAGTCCTTTCCAGTAAACTGAAATTGTTTTGTTCAGCATACACAAAAGATAGGTGATATTACATACATGAGGGAAAAACTATTTGATCCCCTGCTGATTTTGTACGTTTGCCCACTGATAAAGAAATGATCAGTCTATAATTTTAATGGTAGGTTTATTTTAACAGTGAGACAGAATAACAACAACAAAATCCAGAAAAATGCATTTCAAAAAAGTTATAAATTGATTTGTATTTTAATGAGTGAAATAAGTATTTGACTCTTTGCAAAACATGACTTAGTATTTGGTGGCAAAACCCTTGTTAGCAATCACAGAGGTCAGAGATTTCTTGTAGTTGGCACACATCTCAGGAGGGATTTTGTCCCATTCCTTCTTTACAGATCATCTCCAAGTCATTAAGGTTTCGAGGCTGACGTTTGGCAGCTCAAATGTTCAGCTCCCTACACAGTTTTTCTATGGGATTAAGGTCTGGAGGCTGGCTAGGCCACTCCAGGACCTTAATGTGCTTCTTGAGCCACTCCTTTATTCCTTTGGCCATGTGTTTTGGGTCACTGCCATGCTGGAATGCCCATCCACGACCCATTTTCAATGCCCTGGCTGAGGGAAGGAGGTTCTCACCCAAGATTTGATGGTACATGATCCCGTCCATCATCCCTTTGATGTGGTGAAGTTGTCCTGTCCCCTTAGCAAAAAGATACCCCCAAAGCATAATGTTTCCACCTCCATGTTTGATGGTGGGGATGGTGTTCTTGGGGCCATAGGCAGCATTCCTCCTCCTCCAAACACGGCAAGTTGAGCTGATGCCAAAGAGCTCAATTTTGGACTCACCTGACCACAACACTTTCACCCAATTCTCCTCTGAATCATTCAGATATTCATTGGCAAACTTCAGACAGGCCTGTACATGTGCTTTCTTGAGCAGGGGGACCTTGCAGGTGCTGCAGGATTTCAATCCTTCACAGTATAGTGTGCTACCAATTGTTTTCTTGGTGACTATGGTCTCAGCTGCCTTGAGATCATTGACAAGATCCTCCTGTGTAGTTCTGGGCTGATTCCTCACCGTTCTCATGATCACTGAAACTCCATGAGATGAGATCTTGCATGGAGTTTCAGACCGGGGGAGATTGGATGTCAGAATCCAACTATATTTCATCTTTAATTATCAAATATAGAAACTCCCAATTCTGCCTTCTCTGGATTCTGCCATAAGAGGGAGAGAAGGGGGAGAACAAAGGGGCTTTATGGCCCTCACTTCCTTCAGTAGACTTCTAGGGAGCTGAATGCTGAATGTGTGTTTATTGTAACCTCAAAGCGTTAGCCCCAAAGAACATCACCATAACAAAGAAGGGTATTTGCCTTTCATGTAGTTATCTGAAGTCTCCATCCAGACGGAAGAAAGCATCAAAGGGGTGGAATTGTGATGCCTGAAACTATCACTGGAAGGGGGGTTGATTGGGTGGGACTATTGGGGAACCCCTTAAAACCTTGAATGGGAGGGCTTGGACCCCAAGTCCTGTCTAGCACGCCTGCAACCACTTCTTCTTAATAAAGGATTCCTGTTGGAAGAATTATTCCAAGAGTTCTGTCTTAAGATGCAAAGTGGGGTGGGTCCTTACATTAGACAGGACTTGCAAAATTAATCCACCTGGAAAGGAGACCCTTGCCGGGGGATTTTGCAAAAATTTACCATGTCAGACAATGGAGCAAGAGAGGGGGGAAAACTCCCTGGATAGAAAGCCGCTGACCCAGTTGGAACCTTGCCAGATGTTGGGATCCGAGAGGTCAGATTCCTCGGGAGAAAAAGTGGTGGAGACACGGGACCACAAGCCTCGCTGGTCGATGGGCGTTGGAAAGAAAAGTGAGTGGGGAAAGGAATCAAGAAAGGTGACCCTGAGACGGGGGAACAAGCAACCAGAATGGAAGCAGGAGATGGAGAAATCCCTGCACGCAAGTGAAGAGGGAGGAAGCTGGGCACCGTACTCAGACTGGATCCTAGAGAAAGCTATTGACCTGATGAAGAGAACTCTCAGCTTCCTAGGAGAGGAGAATACTGAGCCCTACGGCCGCCCCAGTTCCTGGAGCCGCCAAGGGAGAGACACCGAGGGGGACATGGAACCTGCAACCCCAGGGACATCTACTGATCCAGGAGCCCCCACCCCCTACCGGACCACAGATGGCAATCTGGACGGAAGACACTACCACCCACAACGGAGGCACCGATCCATTCCAAGACGTCCACCGTTGGAGGTGAAATTCAAAGGGGAGCCAACACACTTGGGGTTTTTCCTAACCCAAGTCCGCAGCTACATGGAGGAATATGAGCAGGACATTCCCAGCGACAAAGCCCGCATCCGGATCGTGCAATCTGCCCTGGATGGACCAGCTGCAGATTGGGTGGTGAACTTGCATGACTCCAATGCCCCAGAACTCAGTAACTTCAACCGTTTCATGTCCTCTTTGAGAAGACGAT